GGCATTAACAAAATTAATTAACTTAATAACCCAAATATATCATCTCATTATTTCGCTATAAAACAATCATAACATTCATTTGCTTGTTATTCACTATATCATGTTATGATCATGTAACCTCATCACATACTTATAGTTGTACCATATGCCTTCTAACTTTTAATTATATCAAGTTTCTTTAAAATCACAAAATAATAACCTTCATATTTATCATGTGAACCTTTCACACATCAATATACCACCAAGATTTCATATGTTAATTTTCTAATCTAAATAAATTCCAACTTTACCATTCTCTAATTTTTTTTCCCACATAAATATACCTAATTGCACATATCCATTTAATTTTACTTTTAAAGCAACAAATCACCCCATAATAGGTGATCATTATGAAGTTCATCCCTCTTATTCTCATATTCCTTGTAATCAAACCACTCATAAATAATCGAAATAATTGAAATTACCGCTAATTTCCTCGATGCTTAAAGTACACAATAACACATCGTCATCTATCAATCAACAAATCATCATTTTGTCTTCCACAATTTCTTATCATATAGCATAAATATATGCCATTATAATTTCTATTATCATCCCATAAAAGTGGCTACAAATCACCACAAAATTTTTATAACAATAATGACCATTTGGCTTCAAAAATAATTAACATTCCTCACTGATTGTCACCAATCACACATCATATCATTTCCTTGTATTTATCGTGCAAGCTATAACTAAAAAATTTCCTATGTACAAATAAAAAAAAAATCATGTAGTTCTACATATAAATTGATAATTAAGTGATTGTAACATCTGTAACTTCAAATGCCCCCGCAAATCATCAAAATCTGTTCAAATCCTAATAGTTTACATACACACATAATACCAACCCAACAACTAATGACATTTCCATCCATAATATCATTGCAACTGCCATACTTACATACTAGTCTTTCCTTGATCTGTTAAAAATATCTTTCTATCATTTTTGGTTCTATGCATTTGAGCTAGAGAGCCTGTGATTTTTGCCACCACGACATGTGATCATATCCACTAAACATGCATGAACCATAAAAATTTTCGAAACCATACTCTGATACCACTTTGACACAACCCATCCCGAATCATCCTAGTGGACCCAAAACGTGACCTGTGCCGATAATAGATGCTGACTGGATGTCAAATCTATCACCAATGCTGACTATGAGTTATTTCAAAAATGAAACAAAATCAAATACTTATGTAAAACATAATGCGATGAGCCCAAAATATTTACTTTGTGCTTCATCAAAATGAGTTATAACACTCAACATATCGTGTGGCTCTCATTCTGAAATCATTAGGCTCTTCCAGTTAAAAAGAATTGTTTCCACCTGTAGGAAAATTAAAAAAAAAATGAGTTGATAGCTCAGTGAGTGGAGAAGTTTGAAAATAATTATACTTTTTTATTTTTATATTTTTATCGAAAATCGAGTTCATATCATTGATAACTCGCAAGATAACATCATATAATTATAGTCAAAACGTGAGACGTTCACATAACATGGTAAAATATCATCTCAAGTCATGATATAAACATAAGCTGGTAATCATGCTATAATCTCATCACATCAAATGTACTGAAAAATCTACCAAAAATGTACCTTGTGACTAAAATCTGTAATCCGCCCCTAGAGTTAAGAATTTTCTCCACTTTCTTTAGCCCCTCCGTGAACGAAAGCGGGTCTCAAGACCTCTGATAATCAATTCTAGAACACGGCTAAGGCCCCTCAGTGAACTATATATACACGGTCACGACCCCTTCATCCCCAATCGACCCCTCAGTGTAGTATAGAACATGGCCAATGCCCCTCTGTAAATTAGAAGAAGTACATAATCATGGGTACTTTTCTGATCGATCTCAATATCACATCTCACGTACCAAACAAATCTCAATACACATGTCTCATATACCAAGTCACAAATGTACAATAAATAATCCTTGAAATTCCACATGTATCATAATAAAAGAGATTTTCATAATAATCATATAATCGAACACATAATTGCACATATTTTGATAATATACTTAATTTATAAATACTTTAAAAATATTTATATTTTTCCACTCACAGTATTCGCAAAATCAATTTGGTTGGTAAGCTGTTCTGATGTAAGTATCGTCGCCTACGATATAATTTTTAAATAAACAATTAATTATTTTAAATAATTTTAATAATTAAATAGGCGATACCCAAACTTAATCATTTCACGTTTGGACGATTTCTACAGTCTCTTTAATAACTAAAACTAGTTTTTCTTTCATGTTACTCAATTTCATAGTTTATTACACTTAACTCCTTCAATAAATTTGAATTTAATCTAACAATCTAACAACTATAAAATAAAACATAACTTGACAAGAAGTAACTTTTTACCTACCTTTCAAAATTGAGGAATTCAAGCATAATAATTAAACCACTTATTTTTTAATAACATAGACGAACTTTCCTATTTTTTTTTTTCCTTCCTCTTCTCCGTTTTTTTCTTCTTCTTTTTCCTTTCTCTTTTCTCTTCCTCTTTTCTTCCTTTCTTTCTACCGATTTTTCATTGTTTCTGCCCCAATTTGTTATCTGCTTGCTTGTGTGTATGTATATAATATTAATAATGAAGAAATGGCATGCAAAGTTCCACTTGTAATCCACCACTCAACCCTTTTGCTATCAAGTCCTCCAAGCTTCATATGATATCTTATTAAGTCATCTGACTTTTAATAATTAATAAGTATTTCCCCAAATTTAAATTTTATCCATCTTAAACCTTCTAATGTTGTCAATTTGTAAAATAAACTCCCAAAAATAATTTGGTCAATTCAAGTCCCACTAAAATGATTTATTTCATTTAAGTCATTATTTGACTTTGACTTTGACT